CTTTGCCTGAGTTCCCAAGGCGGACTCAGAGGCACCGACACCACTCACTGCTTATTTAGGAGGAAGCATGGCTGGCCTTGGAGAAGAACAAAACATTTGAGGGGCAGTGGGGCTAAAGAATTGGGAGCATTTGGATTTCAGAATGAAATTGCTAGATTCCTTGAGGTGAGCAATAGAGGCCGCTTAAGCATCCCTGGGTCATCTCAGTTGGCGATGGCTGGTAGATTTTTCCGGTTGGAATCTTGGGTTCTCATGGCTGGAGGGACATTGAGGATACATCACCTCATCTAGAACAGCCCCTTCATTGTACAGCCCAAGGACCGGAGATGGGAAATGACCTGTTCAAGGCCTCTTAGCTAACTGGGGGCAGAGGATCTAAAGTCCAGGTCTCCTGATTCATGGTTCACTGCTCTTCCGTGGGCAGCCCACAAATAGGATTTCTTTTCCTATGCCCAGGACTATGTGACTGTATCAAGGAGAGAGAAGAGTTTTAATCAGTTGTTGCAGATGGGCCGCTGGGGAGGTAGGGAGTGCAGTGTTGTGCAATGGATAGGTGGCCCTTTAGAATCTTACTGCCCAGACACCCATGCCCTGGGCACTGCAGCCAAGGAGAATGCCACTATTATGGGCAGGAACCTCAAGTTGCACTAAAGGACAGATTTCTCCAGAAGCCAACATCCGGGTTTCCCCTCCCCTGGCAGCAGGTCCACCTCCTGCAAGCACTAGCCAAGACTTTCAGGGCTCAGACCTACCCTCTCAGCTCCTGGACTAGGAGTCTAGAGGGCAACGCTGGCTTCTGCTGCTTTCTGGACAGCAGTGACCTCTCCTGCACCAGAGAGCTCATTACCAGTCGGGGGCCCTAAGGCAGACTCTCCTGACAGCAGGTGAAGATGAAAGCAATAATGTGCTGGCTGTTCTGAAGCCCCTGGTAACCCTGGTTTTATTGAAGTCCAAAGTCTCAAACACCTCTAATGAGGATAAAAGGCTGGTAAGCCATGTGGGATCCAACTGAAACCTCTTGAGAGCAGGTAGTGCAGAGAGAGGAGCTGGTGAGGGCTGAGCTGGGGCCTGGCTTTCCAGTGAGAGAGAGTGACTAGCAGGAGATGCTGGCTCTGTTTGCTCAGCTCTCATCTCTTATTTACTCAAAACTAACCTGTCTATTTTCCCTTATTAAATAATCCAGTCCTCTGCAGGGGAACAGGGAGCCAAGAGCTGCTGACTCGCCACCAGGCACCGTGAGGGCAGCCACCCCACGCAGAAGCCCCCGGAGCCAGGCTTTGGACTTCTGGCCCTGGTTTCCTCTCTGCCTCCAGGTCCCAGCGGGATCTTGGGCCAGTCCTTTCACCTGGCTGAGCCCATGGATGCAGAGCGCAGTCCACTTTTGGTGCAGGGGCCATACCACACTGCAGACTCAGCACCTGCATGTCCCCACCTGGCACAGTCCTATGAGAAAGGGCAGGAGTCCTGCAAAATCCAGGGAGGTCTGCGGATCACTGCTCCCCTGGAGGGAGCCATCCTTGAGAGCACTTCATAGAGCCTGGGGTGATGCTGTTTACCCCGAGAGACCCCTCATATCCCAGGCAAGCCTCCCAGGTCTGTAACAAATCACTCAGACTCCCCCAGATGAGACAGCCTGTGAAAGCAAAGGCAACTCTGCATCTGTAGGACACGGTATGGTGGAGAAATGGTGACAGCGGCCCTTTGTTCACTCATTCCCTCTCAGAGGGGCCGCAGGAGCTTCCAGGGTTCTTCCCAGGGCTCTAATTTGATCCTAACACTGCGCGAAGAACCACTCCTTCCTGAGTTCTTCTACTAAAATGTAAGCGCCCCTTTCTGTGAGCATTTCTATAGCTGCTCTTGTGTCTTGTGTCCTGCTCTTGTGAACCCGGCATGCTGAAGCACAAGCAGGTGCAAAGCAAGGACCTTGTCCTAAAAGGGGCTCTCGTCACTAGATGCTGGGGGCACAGCTGCAGGGCAAAGGGGACTTGGTGGCTCCCATGAGCTGTTCAGGGACAGTAAGCCCTGCAGGGGTGTGGGGGAGAGATGTTCACTATGGTCTGGACCCAGGGCGAGGGCCCATAGGGGTGTGGTGTGGGGGGCATGATGTAGGTATCGGAGTATCCAAGCCAAAAGGAGAAGGGCAAAAAGGAAGGACCAAAGATGTACCAGCCTTGTGGGGCAGAGGGTTGGCATCGACAAGGGAGAGAGCCGCAGGTAAGGAGGTTAGACAGGGCACAGGTTCTGGAAGCCCCAAGTGCAAGCTAAGAAGATGAGGCTTGATCACACAAGCCAAACACGGGGAGCCGCTGAAGGTGTTGGAGCAGTGGCACTGATATAGGAGAATCCAGCACCAAACCACTCACCGGTCGCACAGCCACGGGCCAGTTATTTAACTTCACAAAACACTCATTTTCTCCTGTGTGCAATAGGGATGATGAGAGACAGCACCTACCTCATAGGGCTGAGGTTAGACTCACCCAGGTCAGCTAGCAAAGTGCCTAGCAGCGGCCTGGCTCACAGTGCGTGTCCAATGGGTTGGCTCCTAGTACAGTGCTCACTGAATCTAAAGGGCTTCAGTAATTTGTGGCTTGGAGAGTTATTAAGGGAAATAAAGGGGCTTCTCTTTGTACCTCGGGGCCTCTGTGAGACATGGAATATTTAGCCAGATGTGACGCTGATCTGCCCCTGCCACAGGATCAATGCCAGGGCACAGGGCACTTGCTGTGCGTCTCTCTCCTGACTCAGGGCCTAGAGAGCCAGAAGATGTGCCCAAGGGAAACGGGGACCCCAGCACCTTCCTTCTTTTAACTGATTCCGCCCCACTAGACCATCTGCATGCCGAGGGTGGGGACTGTATTCTCTCCACAAAGCGTGGTGCCTGGGGCAGGCACTCTAAATATGAGTGGAAACACAAATGAACGAGTGGATGGAGTGTGAGCCAAGGTGCAGAAGGGTGAGGGGTCCCTTGAGCTGCTTCCTAGGTGAGCTGGGGGGCATTGCTCAAAAGTGGAGTGCAAGGAGCACTCCCCAAGAGTCAGGAGTCCAAGCAGCTGGCAAGGCTTGTACACCTGAGCAAGTCTGTGACATGGAGGGAGCGTGCAGAAAGCCCTGCCTCGCAGAGTTGCTGGGAGCCTCACAGCTGGAAGTGCTCTTCCTGGAGGTGGGGCGGCGGGCTCTGTGGAGGCCACGGGGTTCTGTGTGCCAGAGGGGTGGCCATCTCCACAGCGTGCCCAGCCCTGGCCCCAGCCAGTCCCCTCCTGGAAAGCTGGGGGCATTCACCTTCTGCTATACTGGAATTTGATTTGGGGGTGATTTTATTTAGGGGCATGGACAAAAGACGAATCTGGGGCTAGGAAGGGGTGGGTGTCAAGGCCACCTAGAGGAAAGTGTTGGGAGCGCAGGCTCTGGGGGTCCGGGAGCGGGGCCTTGGCTTATTCTCTAGGGGAGACCAGGGCTCTAGGAGTCTCCAGGACAGGTGGCTCTTTGCAAGGACAATGGACAATAGCCCTGGTGTCACCCTTGCCTCCTCTCTTTCCCGGAAGTCATGACCTGCTTAGGGAGCCCTTCTCTGGCCAAAAATTCTCCCGCTGGTCATTTTATATTCCCCTTCTCTGCCTTTTTTCCTCCTTGATACTTTTGACTATCTAACTTATTTACTTACCTCTTTTCTTGTCCTTTGCCCTGATAAAATGTAAGCTCCACTCATAAAGATGGCAACGGTAGGCACTAGGGACAGCTAGAGTCAGGAGGGACAGAGGGAGGGAGGAAGGAGGGTAGGTTTGAAAAACTAACTGTTGGGTGCTATGCTCACTACCTGGGTGGTAGGATCATCTGTACCCCAAACCTCAGCATCACACAATATTCCCGTTTACAAACCTGAACATGCACCCCCTGAGTCTGAATCTAAAATAAAAGTTGAAATTATTTTTTAAAATGTAAGCTTCATGAAGACAGGGATTTTTGTCTGGTTTGTTCTTTCCTATAGCCTAAGCACTCAGATCAACGCTTAGCACATAGAAGGTGCTCAATAAACATTTGTTGGCAGACTGAATTACTGAATGGGTGGGTGGATGGCCTCATCTGAAATCACCCTAAACCCTGACCTTCTCCACCTCAAACCTGATTCTGGGAGGAAACATCTCCATATCTTGGAGTCCCTCCTCAAACCTGCAGGAGATGGCTTCCATGACAGCACCCTCCTTCATCAGATGGAGGAAGCAACCTGGCAAGGCACTATTTAATGCCACAGATGGGTGTGCTTACTGTCTTTGAGGTTTTTCTCTGCTCTCAGGAGCTCCCAGGAATCCCTGGCCATGATGATTCTGGAGGCGGGAGAGGCAGCAGAGCATGTGCTCTGTGCTGGGTTTATTTTTAAAGGATGACCACATTTAAGAAGAAAAGACAAAGTGGACCTGAGGCCTGGTATCAAACACTTACCATCAAATGGGATAGCAGGTGTTTGTCTCTTTGGATGGCAGTGATTGACAAAGAATGACTGCACTGAGGGGCAGAAGCAGAAAAGAATCACAGATCTGCTGCGAGAGGGGCACCTGAAGGCTAGGGCATGCGTCTTGTCCAGGACGCTGGCATGACCACACGCTTGGATGCGCGGGAAGTCAAGGGTGTCAGTGACTGAGAAGGGGAAGCTGGAGGAGAACAGGAAGAGGCCGTAAAGGGGCTGGTGGTTGGAGGCTGCAGCCAAGGTGTGCACGGAGAGCAAGTCAGGCCAAAGCAGAACGGCAAGGACCAGAGTCAGAATGTGGTTGACACTGGGAGGGAATAGTGGAAGGGGCAAATTGTACTGAAGAAGCAATATTGTTTTCATTGCCTTTTACATCTGGTTACTCGCAGCATGGCGCCCAGTCCCTTGGTCTTAGAGACACGGCACTGTGTCTCCAAGAGTCTCCTCCTGACCCCAGAGAGCCTCAACAGACGCTGCACAGGACATGAGGCCCGTGACCTGCAAGCCCTCATCTGCCTTCTTGTCTGCTTCTTTGCAGGAAAGCGTGGACTTGGGAGAGATCATGTTCTCCCTCTGCTACCTGCCCACAGCAGGCAGGCTCACCCTCACGGTGATTAAGTGTCGGAACCTCAAGGCGATGGACATCACAGGCTATTCAGGTACCTCTCTTAACCCGAGTGGGCTGCCAGCAGCCCAGACATTAGGATTTGGAAGCGTATTCGGGGAGAGGGGGAAAGAATTGTCAGCATTCTTAGAATAGAAGTACCAGCTCTGGACCCAAACTGCCTGGATTCAAACTCCAGTTCTGCCACTTCCTTGCTGTGTAAATGCTTTGGTTTTCTAGTCTGAAAAGCACTTTGGGAGGCTGAGGTGGGCGGATCACGAGGTCAAGAGATCAAGATCATCCCGGCCAACGCTCTGAGGAGTGAAATGGGGTGAAACCTCCCAAAGAATGGGCACATACTCTCAGAATCACAAGTGTAGACAAAAGCTCCGTTTGTTTCCCTAGATCCCCCCGTTCTTCTGCTCAAGAGGCTGTCAGTGATTCAGCTTTCCAACGTAAAACCACTCAGGAGGTACTTCTGAACTAGATGGGAATATATTAAAGACTTTTCCTCATATTTGCTTTGTATTTTTTCTTATTTGCTGGAAAACCCCTAAGTTGTGAAAGAAGGTATTTGAGTTTGGAAACAGCAGAGGGGTAGCTTGAGTCTCCTGTGTAATCAGTTGCTGGACGGAGGTGATGCCCCAGCCAAACACCTGGCTCAGGTGTAACCTAGTGCGGCTGGACGAAAAGGAGGTATCAGGCCTTGAAAACTAAAGTTTCAGGACAAGACGGTCAGGAAATCCTAGAGTAACCTGTTTGTTGCAGCTCTGAGTCCATCAGAACTACCCACACACATCAGGACGTGGGGAAGAGATTAACTGACCTCTTCCAGCCTGGGAAAGGCTCAGGCAGCAGCAAGTCAGCTCCCCTAAAATATAGCCAATGTAGATTTTATTTTAATACCAAATAAGTGCATAACAGGGAAGAAAATTCACTGAAGACTGCTGTGGGAAATGGGATTTTGCTGCCTAAGTCCCCACACTATCTTCTCTGGTGTAATTAAATTGATGTGCTGGAGAGAAAGCTGGTGGTGACATCGCTGAGGTCATCACAAAAGCTGCTCTGAATCAGAGGGTTTGGGGTGTGAGCTTTTTTTCATGCTAAGTTCTGACCTCCCTCTCACAATTGCCCCTCTTTTCGACCTGGGTTTGGAACCTGGTATTAAACCTTGGCTTGATTCCGAAGATGCAAGTGTCCTCTTTTCATTACAGACTTCTGTCTGCTTGGTTCATTGATGTAAGCAAGTATCAGGAACAGTGGGTAAAACACAGTAAGCATTCAATAAATAGGCCCTGAATGAATAGATGGTTGAATTCACAGCATGAGGAACCTGTCCCAAGAGTAAAGCAGAGGGGGTGTGCTTGCTAGGAGCCTCTCAAACTAGATCTCCTGTTCTTGAGGATGAGTTTGAGTGTGCCCTCATCCCAGATTTATTTGATGTTGGACTAAGCTGGGAGTGAATGGAGCTTGTTAACTGCCTATTCCTGGATTGCATGGCACTGACATCTAAAACCCAGGATCTTCCTATTCTCCATGATCTAAACTAGCCCTGAACCAATTATCTAAGCCTATCTGCTAGAACCATGACTCTAAAAATAGCACAAAATAATAATAAGGACCAGTATGCTATAAAGGGGTGGTGAGTGCATTCTAAATGCTGAATTTTGATGGCTCCCATGACAATGAGGCTGAAATACACTGCTGTTCTTTGTGTCCCCTCCCTCAGCTGCATAGAGCATCATAGGCTGCTAGACAGGAAGGACCTCCAAGATCATCTGGGGCCAGCAATCCACTAGAAACCACAGGCTTTTGCCCCAGAAAAGCCTAGGGAACAGTCATCTGTCTGCTTGGCTTCACGGATGCTGGTGAAAGTGTTGGTTCCTGCAAGGGAAATATGTCCACTGAATTTTATAAATTTCATAGGCAGCCAGGCACAGTGGCACATCCTGTAATCCCAGCTACTCAGGAGGCTGACGTGGAAGGATCGCTTGAGCCCAGGAGTTCAAGACCAGACTCAGCAAAATGGCAAGACCCTGTCTCATAAAAAAAAAAAAAAAAAAAAAAAAAAATGGGTATGCCGGCCAGGGGCAGTGGCGCATGCCAGCACTTTGGGAGGCCAAGATGGGCGGATCACCTGAGGTTCTGAGGTCAGAAGTTTGAGACCAGCCTGGCTAACATGGTGAAACCCCGTTTCTACTAAAAATACAAAAAAATTAGCCGGTGTGGTCGCATGCACTTGTAATCCCAGCTACTCGGGAGTCTGTTGTAGGGGTGAACAGAGTTAGGGAAGGCTGCTAAGGCATTTGTCCAGTGGCCCATGGGACAAGTGGCTCTGCCTCTATTTTTCCAAGCTTCATGATATGGAAATCTGCTCTTACATGGGAGTGTGTGGAAATAAGGCAGAGCAGGGGAATGAGACAGCATCTAAGCAACCTCAAGTCTGGAGCCACTTTGCAAGGCAAAGTACATCCTTACGGAGTTTGCACGCTGCTGTGTTAAAGACGGGTCTTGGGGCTAGCTCTGCCCGTCTGTCCACGTGGACCTGAGTAATGCCCTGGGGCATATCCATGGAGAATGGAATCTGTGAAAACCAGGAAGCTGTCTCATGCCAGTTCTCAAAACTGCTACTTCCTTTTTACTGAAATGCCCCTGAGACAAGAGTTTTTTAAATGTGCAGTTAGAGATAGAAGGCCGATTAAACACCTCATGGTCTCCTCATAAACCCAATCTCATGTCCCCATAGTTAAGGCATAGCCACTGCTGCCACATGGATTAGTCGCAGCTCTACGGAAATGCCTTTAAGGCTTGGGGTTTCCGATCAGGTGTTGCAGTTCTCCCTCGTTTCCTCCGTGGATGTGTGCCTCATCTGCCACCTGATGATGCCAGGGAGTCCAGGGACCTGGTGGGTGCTTGATGTCCAGGAGATAGAACCATACGCCTATGAATCACAGAGCTGGGGAGCAGCTGCTCGGCTTCTGACAGATTCACAGGAGCCCTGGCTTCTGGGCAACAAGGTGTCTCAGCGCATCAGCGTCTCAAAAGCTATCATTACCTGTGAGCCGCCCTCCCACTTCTTGAACTGCGAGGCATAAATAACAATTGCGATGCTGACCGGGACACCTGTGCTATGAGATACAATAGGTGTCACTTCACTTGGCTGAGGAGAAAATTTCAGGGTAGAAAGATGACCAACAAATACCCATTCAGAAAACTAAAGAAAACAAAAGGGTGGGAGGCATGTGGAAGTTCAACAAAAGCTTATCTTGGTAGGATGGAGAGAATCCAAGATACCACTGAGAAAGGAAATGTCAACCAGCTGCCCTGAGTCTCCCCGGGCCACAGCTCCCTCCACCTCCACCGCCCAGAAGTGGACAGGAAACGGCTTCCAGGGAAGCAGAGAGCAGGGCCACTTCCCACCTTGTAGATGCCAAATGGAAATAAGATTATTGAGACAATGGGACCCGAAATTATGTTGTCAGGTGGGGAGGACATAAACAGCATTGTGGCCGTTGCTGTTCACTCTGACACATTGTGCCTCCTTGGCCATTGTTGAGTCCTATTTTTTCCCTCCCCGCCAACCTTTATCCTTGGATTTATAATTCTGGCAAAACAAAAAAGCCACTCAGAGAAAAGGACTCCACATAGGTGAAAGAAATCGTGTCACTGTTCAGCCTCATCACCCTTTTGAGTCAGCCAGCGGCTGACGAGCCGAGATTTAGGGCTGTGAACTGCGTACCCATCGGCAGGTGTCATGTCTGATTTGGGGCCAGCTTCCCCATTAGTAAAAGTCCATTAGGCGCTCTCCCAAGAATACTGAGGTAGCTAAAGACTCTGCATTTATTAAGTACAGAGCGTCCTCAGAGACAGGTGTGCTACATAAATACAAGGTGCTTTAATTATTTTAACAACCCACTGATACCATCTGATGAGCAGCAGTAGGTCTAGGGTTTCGGTCCCTTTGCTGCAAATGATGTTTGTGGACATCTGTTTAACACACTCCATTCTCTTTCCTCTGCCCCCATTGGCACAGATCCCTATGTCAAAGTGTCCCTGCTTTGTGATGGGCGGAGGCTGAAGAAAAAGAAAACAACCATAAAGAAAAACACTCTCAATCCTGTCTACAATGAGGCCATCATCTTTGACATTCCCCCGGAAAACATGGATCAAGTCAGCCTGCTCATCTCAGTCATGGACTATGACCGGTAGGTAGGCGTCCCAGAGGGGCATCCCACTCCAGTGCAGGCCACGGCTCCTTGGCCTTAGACCTTGCGGTTCACAGCTCAGCTTCAGGGTTCAGGCCTCAAATCTGTCTGCACTTAAGAAGGGTAGAGGAGTTTGAGGAAGAGCATGGATTCCCCCTTAGCAAAGGGTTCAAAGCTCTTTTCCCAACCGTCCTAGTTCCATCAGGGGCAGCTCTAGCCATCAGTTTCCCTGAATTCACCATATTATTCCCACACTTCTATCTGGCACCAAGTCCTGTTATCTGGCCTTTGAAATGCCCCTCTATCCTCTCTATTTCTGCTGTTGTTACTACTCTTACCCTGGAATGGCTGTGCAGCCTATTAGCTGACCCCTGCCTCCATCAATTCCTGCCCCAATTCAGCCAGCATACTAAGGACACATCTTCCCAAATGACAGCTTTCTTCCTGGACCTTCCCTTCTCAAGAACCATCCATGGCTCCTGTGATCCAGGCTTTTCCTGTGCACCCTAAGGCCTTCTGGACCCAGCATATCCATCCCATGGGACTCCCGCTTCCTCAGATATTTTTCTTCTCTTCCACACATCCTGCTCTTCCATCTAGGCTGGCTCAAAAACATTTTCAACTACTCCCGCCTCCATAGCTCCTCTCCAGTTGTCACTTTAGCTGAAGGAGAAAGAAACCATGCAATAAAGCCTCAATTTCAGATTTTTAGCACAAGTTCTCAGGCGTAGTAGATGCTTGACGCACACACTTAAGGGATAATTGATGTTCTTACTGAGTGAATAAATCACATTTCAGCCACTGGGCGTTTGGAGAAATGGTGCTCAGAGACCGTTGATTTATTTGCAAATGCAGATGTCTCAGTGAGGTTGTAATGTGCTGCCTGGGTCAAACAAGTGAAGAGACTTAGAACCTCTCACCTCCCAAACCCAGGTCATCTGCTCACCGTTTCTTGAGATTCCAAACAAATTTATAGCCTTTGCTTATCTGTCTGTGTCCAGTGCCCACTGAAGGGGACTAGGCAAAGCTTCACTGCCACTGACACCCTGAGGCCCTCCCAAGCATGTTTTCAGAGCTCAGAGTTCTGAGTTACACCCACTAGGCAGAATCCTACCACCACCCCCACCAGACCTCCTTTTCTGAGGCCATGTCTGGTAGCCAATGCTGGGACTTTTGTTTCTCCCCCAGAGTGGGCCACAATGAGATCATAGGAGTCTGTCGTGTGGGGATCAATGCCGAAGGCCTGGGCAGGGACCACTGGAATGAGATGCTGGCATACCCCCGGAAGCCCATCGCACACTGGCACTCCTTGGTGGAGGTAAAGAAATCCTTCAAAGAGGTGGGTGAGGTCGCCTGGCCCTTGGCATGTTTGCTGCATGGCAATGTGGGCTGGAGAATGGCAGTCGGCTGCAGTGAGACCGTCGGCCTTGTGTGGAAAGGTGGGCCTAGGGCCACATGCTTCTTCCCCAGTGTGTAATAGGCTGAAAGGAATCAGAGGAAGAAGGTGGGGCCCGCTGACACAAAGCCCCTGGTGTTGGGCATTTTGAAGGCAACACTGAGTTCTTAATGGAAGGCAAGAACTTAGAAGAAGACTTCCCAGCAGACCACTGTGCCAGGCCTGAAATGCTTTCACAAAGCCCGTGGCCAAGTTGGTCCTTTAGGAGAAAGCCCCAAGGGGGTGAGATCAGAGCTTGGCAAGACATTCCACCCCAATCGGAACAGTAAGTTCCCTGAGGCTCAAAGCGAGGCTGTCACTTAGCCGCTTTCACTGCTTGGATGGACATCCCCAGGAACAGATTCCTCCTCTTCTGAATGTGGGTTCTCGCCCTTATTGAGAAAGGGAGCATGGCCTCAAGGTGTCACGCTTTCTGGCTAAAGCTGTGGGTCTGGGTTGCGCTGGGTTCTGACAGAGACGTAATGGAGAGAGCACTGGGCTGGGGAGTCCTGAGACTTGGGTTCCAATCTTGGCCCCTCCAGGCTTGCTGTATAATCTTGAACCTGTCACTTCTCTCTCAACTGCAAAGACAATATCCCTTTGAGTGATAACTGCAAACTTCTCCACCCTCCACTCAACCCCACTGACTTAGGATCCTGTGTTCTATCACCTTGGTGGTCCCCAGGCCTGCTTTTTCTCAAATGGATTAGAAGTGCGGGTGACCAAACAAGGTTTAAACCTCACTCGTAATATCTCATACCTTGGTCTATATCCTAGAAAGCTGGGTGAATATTCTGTCATCTTAACGGGCATCAAATCTAGCAAATCTAGAGAGCTGTATAAATTGGAAATTCTACTGATACAAAAATAAAGCTTTATCCCTTCCACTGCATGGCCCCTTGACTTAAAATCGGAGTCCCCTTCAAAACAGTGTCATCCCCTCCCCACAGTCTATGATGCAGAGAAGTCAGGGCGGCAAACCCTGAGAACCTGCTGGCTCCCTGCCCTCTCAGGGAAGACAAGCCCATTTCCATCTGTTTCCGGCAGGGTGAGGTGTCTCAAGAGAATGAGAGCCAAGGGGATTGGACCCGTGGAAACACGGGTGATAGGGACCTCGGATTGGTGACGGGGGGGCAGGCTAACTGAGTCACCTCCCCAGACAGGCGGCATGTGCTCTGTGCAGCTCCTGCCCTGTGACCTTTGAGGTGGCATCAAGGGGTGAAAAGAAGCAAAGTTTCTGGCAGTTGAGGCCTCATAGTTCTGTCTTGTGGGTGCCTTGATTTTCCCACAGCTGTGGAGCTTTAATGAGTGAGGCCAGCCCCTCAGCTCCCTCAGGGGAGCCTCTGCCCCTCTTTTCCAGAAGGCCCTTTCTGCAGATTGTGGGTGAGGAACCCACAAAACAGGAGGCACTGCTGGGCAGAACGCTAGACAACCTGCAGACAGCATCCAGCACTTTACCAAAGGCTGTGTTGGGTCAACCAGGAAGGGGTCACGACAGCCCCCCCAGGCCCCAATCCTTTCCACCCGTTTATCATCCTTTGGTGATATTTAAGAATAGAACAAGTACGCTAAACTGTTTATGGTGGCTTAGGGGGAGGGCATGGAATGACAGCTAAGAGGCCTCTGGTCAGCTGTAGGGCCTTAGAAAACTTGCTGCCCCACTCTGGTCTTTGGGTTATTTGGTAATGAGGGGATAAGCACTTCCCAGCTTTACTTTTCTAGGAAACTCTGACCCTAAACGATGGCTGGGCCCATGAGCCCCCATCTTGTGCTGTGCCTGCCTTTCTGATCTTGAATCTGCAATAACCCGTCCCTGTTACCAGGCTGGGCCTGCCTGTGGAAAACGGAAAGTGACAGAGCAGTGGCTACAGCGGGGGGTGGGGTGCTGATGACCGTGGAGGGGCCAGGACTTGGCCCCAGAATCACTCTCCTTCATGAGGAATACAACCTAATTAAGCCAAATAATTGATTCGAAATCCCTGTTTCTTTGGTTTCATGGGTTCAGACTACAAAAGAAAGATAAAGTCGAATCAAGCCCTTGAAACTGAATATTTGATGAGGCCGTAAAGGGAAAACAACAGTATATGGAAAACAAAAGAGAATAAACGGATATTCTTTGGGTTTACTTTTTTCTTGACCTCGCAGGCCAAGCTCCTAGGAATGCCCCCTCCCCAACGCACGATCCTACCATTTTCTGCTCAGCTGATCATTCTCTGTATCAAGAAGCTGAAAAGGGCACTCGTCTCGGCAACCTGGGATTTCTACAGTTCCCATTTGTTTAAAATTGCTGCCAACACATTTAGCTCCCGCAGTTTACACATCTTTATTAAAATGCATGTAACCCCACAGGGCTGACATTAAGTAAGCACCTTGTGTCCATGGGATGCATTGTGTTTGGAGGTGATCCTCCAGCTCATCCTCAGAGCTCACATCCTGCCTTCTTTCATTCCTGTTCTGGATATGGAGCAAGAGCTTTGCTCCTGAAACTTGTATCTCCCATTTGTATAATCATAAAGAAATCTCCTCTAGCTCCCGGAAAGATAAATGGCATCATATCTGCAAAGCATTCTGTATTTATCTTGCGCCTTTCTTAAGGGATTTTCGTTAATCCCTTAAGATGAATTTGATCATTTCTTTTTTATTAATGAGAACAGAGGGCATCATACTTGTTTGCTTGTTTGGGGGCTCAAAATAAGGCTGAGGGGAACAAATTAACTGAAATGGTGTCTTTCCCTGCTGGGATTCTTTCATGAATAAAAATTCATCAAGCCATCACGAGTGGCCTTCCCCAGCTGCGACACCGGCCCCCTTCCCTCTCAGCCCAGAGCCACGTGTCATCGTTGTTACCACACACACAGGGCTGACCAGCGCTCTTCTCCAAGGCATTTTATTGCAGGGGGCCAGGTTCAGATCATCTGCCAGAAATGTTACATCTCTGTTGGAACGTGACCCATTTCAGAGCAGCAAAAGACCTTACTGGAACACAGGCATTCTGGAACAATCATTTCCCTGTGTGCTGGGGACAGGTATGCTGCTATTTCAGAGCCACTGTAAGCCTCCTGGAATCATTTGCCTTCCCATGGTCCACAAACCCCATCTCCTCCCTTTGCTTATCTTCATAGGAAGACTTGGACTAGCAGGGGAGCCAGTGTTCCTTCTTCATTTGTTCTGGGTAAACAGTTATGCTCCCTGCGACTGCTCTTTGGGCTGTTATGTAAAGGAGGAAAGACACTCAGTGTAACTCTTTTGTGTTTTCTCCTCTGACCTTGCCGGTCAGTCAGGTTGTTTAAGTGGCATGCTTACCCAGGGAAGAAGCCAGTGATTATAATGTACCTTTCACCAACAGTAAAGGTTGTAATAGAAAAGTAGAACCCCTAAAATGAAGGTCTGTTAAATGAGAGCATTAGTAATCATCTGTTGTCACCTTCTGGGTAAGAAACACGAGTCAGAAGCCATAATGGGCTCAACAACCAGGCATTTATTGATCTAAAATATTTCACCAGGGAAAACCTCGGTTGTGATTTCATTCACGTGGATGCTGCAAGCAGAGAGACTGCCACCTGGAGTTAGGAGTAAGTACCTGGTGTGGACCCAAAGACGTTAGGTTGCCTACTACCTTTTGTCTCCTTCTTCCCCAAGTGAGGCTAGATGCTGAGATCACAGCAGGATGGAGTGGAAAGAACACTTAGTTGGGTGTTAGGAGACCTCGTTTCAGGTGCTGGCTCTGCCCCTAGCTAGCTGTGTCTTGACTTCTCCGTCTTCGTTTTCTTACTTGCAAGAACAAGAAGGTTAGACTAGATCGGCTCCCAAGCCTTCCTCCAGTTCTGACATGCTAAGATTGCTCCTGTCTAGGTCACATAATGGTGGTCATCGATACTTGATTGTCCGGCCCTTGCTTAGTCATAAAGACCTTCGGTTGGCCTACACAGAGAGTCCTAAGGAGCCCATGAAGAATTGAGCCCAGAGAATGGTAACAGATGCTTTCCTTAGAATTGAAAGCATTAAGGTAGTTTAGTAGGTCTGGGTCCTTCTTCAACTTTGTGGGTCTCCCATCTACTCCCTAGGTGATGCTGGATGGAAAGTGATCTATTCTCAGGTGGCTCAGCCCTTCTAGAAATGGCTGTATCGAGGCAGAACCACATCCTCCCCGGCCCTGAGCCTCCATGCATGCACAGATGCATAGTTGCAGCTTTTACTCAGCCCCACCGTTCCACAGTGGAGACCATCAGTGCTCATGAGAGGCAGAAGGGGCTGCACTTCAGGTTCAGGAAGGCCATCTTGACCACCTACCTACCTCTATCTCTGGAGCTCTGTCCCGCAGACACCCAGGAGAGTCCTGGGTCTCTTCAACCCACTCCAAGGATGGGTGAGCAGTGGACATGGACTCACTTTGAAGTTATTACTATAAAGCCCCCAAGCATGTCAATTCATGGGGTCAGATCCTTGCTCAGTAAACACTGCTGTGGTCATGACTGCTGCAGCTATGACTGGTTAAAGAAGGACTGAATGGCTCAAGTCCACCCAGCCTCAGCCCTCTCCTTCACTCCATTACGCCTCATTACATCACCCCTTTCACAGAGGGTTTGGGTCGGGCTGATAGGAGGCAGTCTGTGAACTAGGAGAGCTGGGGAGGAGAAAGGGGTTGCAGAAGCCAAGAAGGGTCTGCTCACACCTCTACCTCTCCGCAAATCAGGTGCAAATGCCCACAGGAAGAATGAAGACCGAAGGAGACAGCTCAGAGCTAGAGCAGTATCAGGTTTTCAGCTGCACTATCAGCTCCCAGACAAATCGCTAATAATTCATGACCATGGGTTCTTGGCAATAAGGGCATATTCTGCACACTGCCTCTTTTGCTCCTAATATAATATGATTTTCAGTGTGAAAAATTGCTGAAGCACTCAGAAATGGTCCAGTCATAGCACCTCATTCACACACACACACACACACACACAGAAAGTTTTAATTATCTCTGCAGTAGGTCATTTTGAAAATCAGGTATTCCAACCTAGAAGCTCTAAGCTGTTTCCCCTATATTTTTGCATGGCTGACAGCAAAATTCAAGAAAGCTTATGAGAAGCTGGGAAAGGTAAATTCAGTGCATGGGCCAGTTCAGTTTTGCAAGCTGAAATGTGAATTCCTTTAGCAATTAATAACCAGATTTTCCCCCTTTGCAGTGGCAGGGCCGAGCTGCCAGCTTCGACAGTGAGAGCTCGTGCCCATCTCCGAAACCGCCTCCGTCCCCATGAGCTGCGCGGCCGAGTAACCCCAGCGGGACTCAGCAGTGCTCTCTTTGCACTTGTCCAACCGTCTAAACAGTGTCGTGCAGTCGCGGTGGCGGCGGTGGCCGTCGTCACTCCAGAGCCTTACCTGCTCCTGTGTAGGGCAAGGCCGAGACACTTGTCATGTGGTCAGATCTGTCTTAGTCTTTTCTGTCTCCCAAGGTGATGTTTTTGTGGTTTTTCACTTTTTATGGGTCTGCTGTTAAGAAAAAAAAAAAAAAAAAAAAAAGAGTAGGAAAAGACAAAGGGCGGAAAGCCCAGAAGTTGGTTCTAGAAAATACAATGTATAGTCTTTTGGAAAGAGGTGGATTGAGTTTCTGAAATGCTGTGTCTCCAGCAAGCTCCACAGCCCTGGAAAAGGAGGAGGCGTGGTGGGACTGCGGCCGGATTTTCAGTGCCCTGCAGGAATGAGATGAATTTATGGAAGGGCCTTTGTAGGGCGAATTACTAGCCTTTGAAGCCGTTTGCTGGTGGGATGTAAATTGTATTGGGACCCTCAGTCCTGTGTTGAAATCACAAGACCTCTGAGGCGCCTGTGAGCCTTCGGTTGATGTGCAGGGTTCCTCGCTCGCCCTCCTCGTTGGCTTTCCTCAAGAGTCGAAAACGTCTGGATTCCTCATGGGACCTTAGTCACTTTCTTTAGGAATGATTCCGCTGAAACTAAACACGCCATATGTTTTCTGATGCACCACAGTTAACGATCATATTTGTTTCAAAACAGGATCTTTGTTCTCAGAATAACCTTCATTGTAAAGTAAGAGAGATACATATGTTCTGGAATGATTTCTGCATTATACATAGCTTTATAATTCCACGAAGTATCAAGCCGCTGTTTAAAATGCCTAAACAGATTACAGAAAAAAACCTAGATTAAATGTTCTTTTCCAAATGGGGAGTTTTGAAATCCAACAGTTTGAGTCCGGCTTTCTATGAAGAGTGTCTTTTTATTTGAAACCAAGTCAGCGTAAGCCTCTTTCAGCCCCTTTGGCTCTGGGACAATATTCATCTTAAACTTTAGTTCTATAAATTGCTAAGTACTTCCGTGTTGTTTGTTTCAGTGGTTGTGAGGGTTTCTTGTTTCCTTTAGATCTCTACCTTAGGCCAAACTCAGTTTAGGAAAAAATAATTATTTGAACTATCCTGTGTTGTAGTAGCACATTTCTGTTCAGTTAATAGTGGCCTTCCCCCAACCCCTAAAACCAGGATGATGTGCTCAATCTCAGTTTGTATAACCCGAGTAAGCGCATGGAGGTGATATTCTACCTGACTTGTGACTACGCAGTGCTAGTTTCCAGAGCTGTGTGTAATACTTGCAAGAGGCAAGTCTGCTGGGGAACCCCTTCTTTTCACAGTGGAAAGTCAAGAACAGAAAATCTGTTCACACACCTGTGTCTTATTCTTTATATATGTTACATGCTAAAGGGGCAGCAACCAATAAAGTGGTCCTCATTTTAAACCAAGGTGTCAGATTTTTCTGCTGATCTAACCCTGCATAGTATCTTCTAGCCCTAAAAATGACCAGGTTGGGCATGAGCTAACAGGATATTGTGACAAAAAGAGTTTTCTGCTTAGAAAAGTAAATGTAGATAAACCTAAGCTCTGCTCCGCACTGAGCCTTGGGCTAGGGACTCATGGGCAAAGATGACTTTTCTCCCCAAATATCCTGTGATCGGCAGGCCTTCCTAGTTCAGCAGTCCTGCATTTGGAGGTTCTCCTGAGAGTGAGAAGAAACCCCAAGGTCATGACAAGATTCCTAGAAGTGACAAACCTCATTATGATTCTGACTCTAGACTGACCCCATTAAGAGAGTCATTTCCATCGGTGAACAGATGCTGTGGGCCTTGCAATTACAAAGGGGACAACTGCATTTCCTGGGTCATAAGGAACCCAGAAATTAGTTTGAGAAGGTCCCTCTGGAAGTGAACTCAAAATATGTGTCCAGCTGTCACTGCTAAACCCTTAGGCAGGTGAGGCTAACCCATTCTAACCTCTTGGAGAAGGGAATGTGGTCAATGTGAATAACAATAGCATTGCTCATCTGAGACATTCCTTTTACATCCAAGCAGCTATCTCCCATGAGTTAACAGCCCAATGGTTTCGGAAAATCATTTCCTGAACAGATTCTAGCCAGCCCCATGCCACCCTGGGCAGCTGCAAACCGCTGCTGCTCTAGGAGCCTTGGTCTATTCCTACAGGCTTGGGAGCCCACCCCAGGGAGGCTTTTAGCTCCTGCAGCCTCACCCCCAGCACCCTCAAGAGAAACTAGTCCTCAGCCTGAATCATGAATGAAAGCTGAACATCCGCCAACCTCATTATCTATCCCCATATCTCTCCCCTCACAGAGGAGAAAAAAATGAAATACAAGGTCGATCCATTTGTTGGCTTTCTCTGGCCAGAGTAACCTCTCGGGTTGTTGCTGTGAGTGAGCTTTGATGAAGTTGTGATAACCAGGGCCATTTGCACACAGGTTTTTTTTAAAAAAAAAACACGGAAAGTTCCCTTCTCCTTTACTTAGCAGTGTTTCTGGACTGAAAGATGCCCTCCTCCCACTCTGCACTTGCCCAGGACGTTAATTAATTGCATTGTCATTTAAAATATTATGTTGTTGATTACTGCTTTCTGTCTTCCCACCCCCCGTCACAGCCTGGAGATTTTATTCAATTAAATCTCTGTCTCCTGCCCGTCTCTCTTGTCACTACGTTCCTGGGGTTTAGCAGCCAGTACACACACAAGACATCACAAAGCTTTTCTTTCAATCTTTGCTTCACATAGATAACCACTTCCCTTTTATCAGTGGTAGAGCAGAAGGCCTGTTGGTGTTTTGTTCTGCTCAAGGAATACCTGTGGACTCCTTCAGGCTGGAATCCACCTGTGTTTTGTCAGGCTTGTGGCTCAGACAGCATTTGGTGCACAGGACTCCACTGTTCCCTCAGCTCTTCAGCTCAACAAGCAGTCCCTCCAGATGCTGAAGCTCCCCTCAGGGCGTGGGCCATACACTCACTTCGGGGAAGTACAGTGCTGTCACCCACCAGCAGAGGAATCCTGCTGGCCGTTGTAAAATACAACTTGGGAAAGCCATGGGAAAATACTTCTGCAGCCTCAAAAATTAAAAAAAGAACATTCTAATGTGTTAGAATATCTCTCTGCTCGCCTGCAGCTTTTAATTAATTTAGAGAGCAGTCCATAGAGAGGAGAGTGGAAGGGACCATCCACTCCTGTACACCTGCATCTAAATGAGGGGCACTCCACAGTGAGAGGCCCAGCGAGCTGAACTGCTGAGAGCAGCACTCTCCTGCCTGAAGAGGTGGCCTCCCCTTGCCAGGGCCTTTCCATCAGGTCACCCAACAGCCAGCAGGATGCGGCAATGTGCTGGTCACATCTAGAGCTGATAAACCAAAGGGGTCGGTGTGTCTGCTAGTATGGGCTGGGCTATGCTGCAATCACAACCTGCAGATTGCAGTAGCTGAAAACAACAAAGGCTTATTTCTCATCCATGATAAGCACCCATCACAGGTCAGCTAGGAGCTTTGCTCATTGTATTTATTCAGGGGACTCAGGAGGACAGAGCAGCTGAGGACTCAAACACTGCTAGTTGCCACCCCTGAGGGAAAAGAACACCTGAAGGGTCTCCTAGTGGCCTGAATGCTTTTCTTCACAGTCCATTGCCAGAACTACAGATAGGGTCTCCCAAAACATAAGAGGCTCAAGTTCCCTGGGGAAAGAAGAACTGAAAATACTGAGTTAGCAGCGCCTGGGAAGACCACAGTGAATCTAAACAGGCCTGTGGAGGCTGACACATGGATTCAGAACGATGGATTCAGAAGCACTAACACAGGCATCCATGGGTTCTATTCATTGTCAAATGACTTGCCAGAAAGGCCAAGGTAGAAAATGGAAGTGCCGTTAGGGAGGTGAAGTAAAAGGACCTCTATAGAGGTTCAAGAAGGAACATCAGCCGGGCGAGGTGGCTCACGCCTGTAATCCCAGCACTTTGGGAGGCTGAGGTGGGCGGATCACGAGGTCAGGAGTTCAAGACCAGCCTGGCCAACATGGTGAAACCCCATCTCTATTAAAAATACAAAAATTAGCTGGACGTGGTGGTGGGCACCTGTAATCCAAGCTACTTGGGAGGCCGAGGCAGGAGAATCACTTAAACTCAGGAGGAGGAGGTTGCAGTAGCAGAGATGGTGCCACTGTACTCCAGTTTGTGTGACAGAGGAACACTCTGTCTCAAAAAAAAAAAAAAAGAAGAAGAAGAAAGAACATCACAACTCAGCGGAATGAGTAGGAACTTCAGGTGCAAAGTGGCTCTGCTCTAGGCATTGAGGCTGAGTGGGATTTGGAGGTGTGACAGTTGTGAGAAGGCATCTGCAGACTGACGGGCCCATACAAGTGAAAGTCCAGAGCAGGAATTCCTAGGGCTGCACTATCCCACATCGAGGGGAAACAGTGAACTCCCTGAGTTCAAGTGCCACCCTGCTTGCACTGGTCAGCCCAGGAAGAATGCAGGACTTCTGCCCATGGAGCCCTACTGTCCCCGGCCCTGAGCCCCACTCCACCAGACTCTAGACCTGGCCCCTGCGTAGCTCTTGCCAACAGCCTCCTCTGGGAACTGGATCTGCTGCCCCACTTTCCACTGGTGGCTTTGCACCTGCTCCTCTGACTTTGAAACTCAGTCTAGTGGTCTCACCCCATCCACTTAACCAGCCTCTCCTTCTTGGGCTATTTCTCAGCCAGAAGCCACTTGGGACTTTATGATCCGTACCACGTTCTGCTCTCCTTCAGGGTGAGTCTTATCCAGAGGTCTGATTCCTTAGTAGAGGGAACAAGACCAGGCTCTCCCCAGCTTTTCCCTGGCTGGTTCATAGCCCATGTGGAGAGACTGGAGGTGAAGAGATGGCAAGGCAATTGTGGCCATCCACAAGAGGGAGTGTAGGGCTGACCCAGACACAGGCAGGGCACCTGTACAACATGTGGTGGTCACAGCCAGATGTGGTGGCTCACACCTGTAATCCCAGCACTTTGGAAGGCCAAGGTGGGAGGATCACTTGAGCCCAGGAGTTTGAGACCAGCCTGGGCAACACAGTGAGATCCCATCTCTATTTTTTAAAAATGTGATGGTCACAGAGGGAAAACGCAACATGGCTGACAGCTGCGCTCATCTGGAAGACAAGGAGAGGAAAGGGGGTGTCCCAAGTGTCGTATGTTTTTATACCTTGGAAACCACGTGTTCTATGCCTTCCACAGAAACCAGAAATTCAGCAGAACAAGAAAAAATGGTGAGTCCAGTTTGGGCCAAACTCAGTTTGAGATGCTGGAGGGATGTCCAGCAGATAGCTGCAGTTCAAGACGCAGCCTGGCAGCAAGGTCAGGTGTGAGACGTTTGTTTACAGGAACCTTACACGACAAAGCGATGTGAAGACAGGAGGCTGACCCTGCTAAGCGAGGACACGTAGACAAGGGAGCCTAAAAAGAGGTTCTTTGGGAACCACCAACATTTAGAGGTCAAGGGAAAAGAACGTGACACGAATCATGATGGAGCAAAGCTGATCGATGCAAATGCCGATGAACAAGACAGATCAATCAAGGGCTTCCTAAAATGATTCTTCCTAACAAGTGAATTCAAGTTGTTTCAATATCACTCGATTCACAAACGTCCATTTTCACCTAGGTTTGCAAGCCACCAACTCTTTTTTTTTCTCCCCTCAGCTCGACCCTTGATGTTTTGAAAAGAACTGTGGCAAAATACACATGACATAAAATGTACCATTTTTAATTGTATAGTTTACAGGCATTAAGTATATTCACACTGTTGTGCTAACATCCACACCTCCATCCGCAACGGTCTTTTCATCTTGCAAATCTAAAACTCTCTACCCGTTAAACACTAACACCCCATTCCTCCCTTCTCCCAGCCCCTGGCCACCACCATTCTATTTTCTGTCTTTACGAATTTGACTGCTCTAAGTACTTCATATGAGTGGAATACACAGGCTTGTTCTTTTGTGGCTGGCTTATTTTACTTAGCATCATGTCCTCAACAGATGTTGCAGAATATGTCAGAATTTCCTTCTGTTCTAGGCAGAATAATATTCTGTTGTACGGACATGCCACATTTTGCTTATCCATTCACTCATCAGTGGCTACTTGGGTTGCTTCCATGTTTTAGCTATTATGAATGATGCTACTATTGTACACTGTAGGTGTACAAACCTCTCTTTGAGACCCTGCTTTCAATTCTTCTAGGTGTATGCCCAGAAACAGAATTGCTGGACTACACAGTAATTCAGTTTTTAGTTTTTGAGGAACCCCATACTGTTTCCCATAGCGCCTGCACTATTTTATTACATTCCCAACAGCACTGCCCAAGAGTTCCAGTTTCTCCACATCTTCGCCAACCCTTGCTTTTATGATAGTAGCCATCCTGATGGGTGTGAAGTAGTATTTCATTGTGGTTTTGATTTGCATTTTCCTAATGGTTAGTGAGGTTGACCATCTTTTCATGTGCTTAATGGCCATTTGTGTATCTTCTTTGGAAAAATGTCTACTTAAGCCCCTTGCCCATTTTGAATTGGGTTGTTTTTGTTATTGTTGAGTTGTAGGAGTTCTGTATGTATTCTGGATATTAATCTTTTATCAGATATGTGATTTGAAAACATTATCTCCCATTCTATGGGTTGCATTTTAACACTGTTGATCATGTCCTTTGATGCAATCACAAAAGTTT